TATTGCCGTGAGCTCGGCACAATCGCAAGAAAGAACCCCTACCATAATGAGAACGTCTACCTTTCTACCAACACACTTCCTCCATCTGTTGCGGGCTTCTAGAACTTCACACTAACGGGACTTGGTTGCAACCCACCAATGCCTAGAACAATCCCCAACTACGGAAACCACATACCTATTACCTCCCAATGATGCTCTCTTGGAAGGCCCCCGAATGCCTGAATGAACACCCCTTAGAAGACCCCTCGAATGATGGATAGAAGTGTTAAACTCCACCTCGGTCTTCTTGCTCATACCAATGGGCTCACAGGACTTCAAAATACAGGTCAAAACACTTCTCAACAACCTATACACTGTATTACCAATCAAATAACCCAGCATCAAACAACGCCACAGTCTAGCCGAATCTGATGAAGTCGTCAGCTCCCTATCAATCGCCGTGCATCCGAGCAAATAATACAAATTTCTCCTTCTGACGCCCTTCATCACAATCATAGACTCCAATGTGACCTTCAAGCGTGCGTCCACCAAGGTCATCCTATAGCCTACTGTCTTCAAAGTTCCAAGTAAAATAATGTTCATCTTCAATTACGGAATGAACCTCACATCATCCAACTCTCGCATCATCCTAATCCGAATAGTACCAATACCACCAATAGAGCATGCATGTCCATTACCCATGAGCACGACATCCTTTCTTTCTAACTTCTGAAAGATGGAGAACCAATCCCTCCTAGGGAAAACGTGGTAAGAAGCACCCGAATCCAACATCCACTCCGTAGAGTCGGCATCACAAACTGATGGTAGTACGGATAACGAATAGCCTGAAGAATCTGAATCTGAATTATTGCCACCAGTCTTGACAACATTCATCTCTGAAGCTTGTACAGCTTTCCCCTTATTCTTCTCAGCTCGATCTAACTTTGGGCATTCAGCTTTCCAATGTCCATCATCTTTACAAAAAGCACACTAATTCCTACAAATCCTACGATATGCACCTCTAGACTGCGACCTCCTACTTCGGTTTGAACCACGACCTTGAACTACTAATGCATATCCTGATGCCTTCTCGGAGGACTCGTCAACACTCTTCCTCAACTCATAATTCACCAACGCTGAGGTCACCTCCTTATAGCTAACAGTAGTTCTTTCATTAATCATAGTGAGAGAAAAGGTATCATAATCATCCTCGGGCAACGAACACAAAAGTAGCATCGCCTTGTCTTCATCCTCAACCATAATATCCACATTGGCCATGTCTGAAAGTAGCTTCGTGAAGTTGTTAACATGCTCCCTGATGGAAACTCCCTTCTTCATCTTGAAATGGTAAAACCTCTTCTTTAAGTGAAGTCGATTCTCAATGCTCTTAGTAAGATACTTTTCATTGAGTGTTTCTCACATCTTCTTCGCCGACGTCTCGTTCATCACATCATAAATAAGATCCGACGTCAAGCATGACCGAATAACTCTACACGCCCTACTATTCATCTTCTTCCAAACCTTTTCTTTCATATCAGCAGGTTTCTCTTGCAACTCAAGAGTCTCTTCCAAGTTTTGAGCGTCCAACGCATCCATCACTTGGCACCTCCACAAACCGAAATTAATCTTGTCATCAAACTTCGAAACATCGATCTTCATGTTATTGATGCTCAAACTATATATCGTCTTCGTAAGAGACGATACCGTTGTGCTTGCTTCACCCATGTTGTCGATCTAACTCTTTAAATAGGAATCCTTTCAGAGAATCCTTCAAACAAACCTCAAGCCGAACCCGAAGCTCTGATACCAATTGTTGTACGCGGCGCGGAAGCGGTCGAATCACACAATCCAAACAAGAGAGATCACAACCAAATAAACAAGCACAATCACGAAATAACACAAGAGATTTACGTGGTTCGGTAAGTTGCCTACGTCCACGGGGCAAGAAGGGAATGAGGTTTTCACTAATAGAGAAAGAGTACAAACTGAGATTATAAATCACTCGAAGGAACAAACTAATCTTACTAACAAGATCTTAATCTCTCCAAACAAAACCCTAAACAAATAGCTCAGAAAATACCTCTTTTCTGTGCTCCAAATATCCCCAATTTGCTTATCCAAATTCTCTCTTCCAATTGTTCCATATATATAGAAATCCTAAAATCATAAACATACTAGGAATTCTAAACCAAAAGTCAAATCAAATTAGAAATCCTAATAACCTATTATCAAAATAGATTAGGAATCCTAATAACCTCATGTTACCAAAATAGATTAGGAATCCGCTATCCAACATATACCCCTCTTGCCTTGGTTCTTTGATAGAGTTTTTGAAGGGTTTTTACAAGTGTTTTGGGCAGTTTATTTCCAAGTTTAAAAGATCAAAAGTTTGGTTTGCTTATGTGAAGAAGTTTTCACAAAGAGAAGGAGATCAATTTCGGTCTTGGTCATTCATCTTCAAATCTTGAATCCTCTTTGTTTATAGAGAAGTTTTTCTGAACTTATCTTCTAGCTTATTCATATTTTGATTCATATATATTTGTGCTAGATTGATTCAAGTTTAGTTATCATTTTACTCATTGATTGCACACACAACCTATTGAGCTTTTAGTATTTCACATTAAGTATAATTTGGGTTTTAATGAGTGATTCATTGAGTGTGAGCTAAATTTCGTTCTCATTCTTGTTAGAGAACAAACCCTTTTAATTGTGCTTAATTGTTGAGAGATCACATTGTAATACACAAGGACACACTGAGAGGAATGTGTGGTGAGAGACGGGGTCGATTCCAAGAGGAGTGATGTCGGTTGTAAAAGCTAGAGAGAGGTTGTAAATCCAAGCACTTGAGGAAGGCGACACGAGCTAGGCCAACACTTAGAAGGTATGTTGTGTGATTGTAATTGTGAGAGTTTTAAACGTTTTCGATGAACGTTGAAAACCGATTGAGATAGCGGAGATCCTCCTTGAGGGTGAGGAGCGGAGCCGTAGGTCGAGGGTGACCAAACTCCATGATCATATTGTTTGTTTGTGATTCCATTGGCATATTATTCCTGTGCTCCTTGTCTATCATATTTTTATCGCCATTGTCTCATGTTTATATCGCTCATTGTTTAATTATACATATTCTTGCATATAATCTTATTGAATATCATACTTTCTAGGATAATTAGTTAATAAGTTTTAAATTGGCATTATTAAATCAGATTAGATTAGCAAATACCCTCATTGTTTAATTATACATATTCTTGCATATAATCTTATTCAAATACCCTATTCTAATCAGATCAGATTAGATCAGATTAGAATATCTTATTGAATATCTTACAGCTAACATGTTAACTCTTACAGCTAACATGTTAGCTGTAAGAGTTAACAGAAAAGAGTTAACATTTTACAGAAAAAAAGTTAACATGTTACAGAAAAGAGTTAACATTAATGTGCCCACACGAAGTTCCTCGGGACGATGCCGGCGACGGAGCGGGTCGGAGGAGGAGGAGGGGGGTGTAGGGGAGGGTAAAATGGGGATTGTGTATGAAGTTTGCATGAGAACTTGGGAAGAGGGGCTTTTAATAATTTTTTCAAAAAAGGATGTCTGCAGCACATGTTTGAAAGTTAGGGGGGCTGGGGCACATCCAAAGTTGGGATTTAGGGCCTTGAAGCAATTTTTCCTAATAATAATTATAATAATAATAATTTTAGCATAGATGAAACGTATCTGGGCGGCCCTCAAGCATCACTTGATATTATTTGGTCGATGAAACTTTTAAGATAGATGAAACTTTAAATATAATATTACTCTAATTAGGATAGCTTGAACTGAGAGAATCTCTAATTTATATTATAACAAAAGGAAAGTGTTAAATATCATATCCCACTCCTAAATGAAGATATTAGTTTTTTTTAGGATTTAATTAAGATAGAATAATAATGTAATATCCAAAAGAATCAGGAGTAATATTAAATATGGAAAGACTTATCAAAATTCACACTTTTAAAGAAAGTATGATATGATATAATTGATGGGGTAATAGAATTGGGACATTACCTTTTGGTGCTATTGGTTTATTGGATTGTTTGTAGGACAAATTTCCCACTTGGAATAAAATGGTAAATCCTGAAAATGGTAAAAGAAATTTGGGCTTTGTTGCTTGTATATCTCTCAAATTTATTCTATTTGCATACTTAGAGTCAATTTGGTAATGTAGGAGCTTATAGAAGCAGTTTATATAAACTGTTGAAAACAGCTGTTTGGTAATCAAATATCAAAAACTGTTTAAAAAACCAGTTAAAATGTTTGGTAGAATCGTGCTTAATAATTATTGTTAAAAAAATAAAATGTATATATGGTATATAAACTAAAAAAAAAAGAAAATACTTTTAAAAACATCCTCAGATTGCTTCTAAAAACACTTCATTAAAAATAGAAGTATTTTCATAAAATATGTCAAAAAAAATTTCAACAAAAACCATTATTAACCGCTTCTTTAAAAAAAATTAAACAGAAACACCATCAAAAAAGCAATGCCAAACTGGGCCATACTTTCCAAATCTTAATTTTTTTTTTTAACGAAAAAGTTGCGTATACTATTGAAAGGCAGTTCTTCACCTGTATGACTAATATGTGAGGGAGAGGAGGAAGAAAGAAGGGGAAATAAAGGTAACATCACCGTGTGATCCTATTCTAAGCGTTCATTCAAAATCAGGATTTAAAACTAGGAGAAGACAATCCGGTTCAAGATTTACTAAGCTTTCCCAAAATCTGAAACAGGTGCAAATTGGTTAACATTAAAACGCAGTTCTAGATCGGTGCTAAAAATAGATTAAAACATGCACTGAATAATTAAGAACAAACTCACTTCATGGAAATGAGGCCACGGACAAAATAAATCAGATAAAAAGACTAATAGAACGGGAAAACTTTTGCTTCTTAAATAACTAGGTGGAGAGAGAGATCATCAAAATAAGCTGAAGTGATAAAATAAAAATAAATTTAAAAAATTTAAAAAAAAATGAGAAGAATAGGCAGAGAGCTATGACATGAGATACATAATAACTAAATTGATCAAATAGGCTTACAGAAAAAATAGTCAAATATTATCTGCAGTGCCGCAATTGACATACAACTTCCCTGAGTCCCTACGACAATAACAATGAAAACGTAGGGGGGAATTTGGAACACTACTGCTGTTGCACAAGGAATCAAAAAGAATGATCACTTCGTATACAGGACGTCCTCCCAAGGGTGGCGGTAGAGTGGCTGTTTCAACCTCTTCTGATCAAAAGTGTGCCTGAAATTTCAGAAAAAATGAAACCAAATTAGGATGTTCTTTTTTTTCCCCCTCTTTCTGTTCGTGTCTTTTTCTTTGTCTGAATTCTAGGATCCAATACAATGGTTACAGTGGATGATGTTAAATTTGAAGAGTTATTAAGCAAATAGATGCTGAGTGCATGGCAAAGTCCCCCACTTTTGGCCATTCTTTCTTCAACATTTTTGTGTTTCACCTGTGTTTAGATACTGAAAGAGATGATAGAGGAAATGAAGATGGCAGACTTTTGATAGGTTATTGTTTTACCAAATACAGCCATAATCTTTTACAGATCAAGAATATTAGCTCTACTATTATGAGCACAATACAAATTTTCTAGTGCTATTGAACAAATTGTGATACACCAAGTTGGAAAGTTTCAAGGATCATTAACCAGGTATGTGATGTAGAACCATATATACAAGTGAATAGATTTTGTGAAAGAAGAACTGTGTAAGGAAAAAAAAAACATGGTGGAAATTTGGATGTCTTCGAATTTGCAGAAAAACGAGCCCCAATTCGGGATTGAATTTATTTGGAAACAATGGGGCACTAGAATTCGTTTCGAAGCAATGTGCTAGTGCTATTAACAATTTTTTAGAATTCCTTCGTAGCTAAATAGCTTTAGAAATCCAACTTTAGTTGGAAATTGTAAAGCTGAATCCCAGCTTTAGATGGAATTGAATTTATTTGAAAAAGTTTAGTTCATCTGGAATTATAGTTCAGTTGCAATTGGGGATCATTTTTATTTCGGTTTTAGTCTTGTGAGCTTATAAATACACAGTATGTGTTGATTTTCTTTTAATTGTTGAATCAAACATTTGATAATTCTGGAAGATAACTACACATGTTCAGTGTTTGCCATTGGGATGAAGACCAGTTGAGTGACAGAAAACATATATTGCTATTTAACCAACTAAAGCTCATGCAACAATGAAATAAATAAATAATATGCTTAAGAATCCAAACTTACCCAATAAGACCAATTGAACGTGCTAGCACAAAGAGCCCATTTAGATATCCGATATCAACTATTTCATCAATCTCTTGCTTGGTGAACATTCCACTGCCTGAAAGAAGATCAAGGAAAAGAGATCCAATTGCTCCATCAACATTCAGAACCAAGTTGTTGGCTTTTGACAGCGTGTAGGTCTCAACTTGAACAGCATATTCCATGTACTTCACGTTAGGGAAATGGGTGTGCGCATATTTTTGCAGAAGCTGCACTCTCTTGTCTCTGTTGTCTCTACTCTTGATCCTGTCAGCATTACGCAATTTAAATTATTCAGTATCATCTTATTTGGAGGAAAACGCTTGAAAGGACATAAGGATGCCAGTAAAAATTGACAACTTCCATTGAACGCCCTGTTGAAATCTATGTTTATAATACACCAGGCAGTGTAACCAAATATTACAAAGGCAAAAATAGGGCTATAATGATAACTGCAGGGAGAACCCTACAGTATTGTTGAAATGGCAACCTTCCACTGACTTGTCTAAGTATAATATTAACTGTCTGAACGTGAGCATTCTGATTTATACCAAGGACTGCAACTCAAGCCAGCTTAAGCTTGAAAAAAGATAAGTTCAATAGATACTTGACTCTTCCCAAGTACCCAAATCCCTGGTTGTAAACATCTCTTACACAACCTCTGCACCTTTGACTCTGGATTCATGTTCATTGAGGTGAACAAGGGTACCTTAAGTTGGTAACTTATTGCAATAGATAGGTGGATCTCAAACTACTATTTAAAGTTCTAAACTTCCATTTTAAACTCAACACAGATGTGCAACTAGGTTGCCAGTTTTGACCAAAGAGCAGTCTGTTTGATGACCATCCACATCCAGTCATATAGACAGCTCACGTCATTGGATTTAGTAATCTTAGCAAGCAGTGTGGTGATGCCCATAAATGCAGGCAAAACTGAAAGCAATACAAATTCACAACCAGTTTCACACTTATTGTGCCCCGAATTCGAATATCAGAAAATAGATTTGCAAACAAATTATACGATATCGTATTTCGAAAACCAATGCATAATTAATTTATTATTAGCAGCTTTGGATGGTGACAAAATTCATTCTTATGCAAAATTTATTTTAGAAAATTGCTTCAACTTCTGTAAATGATTCACCTGCATGTAGGATTGTTGGTTAAATGCTTGGATGTGGGCAAGAACATACTGGGTCTTACACAAAGTATACATTACACCGTGATACAATATTTGTTTGTTTATTGACTTAGCTTTTATTTTAATTTGATAATCAGCATCTTATTCACATAACTACATGTGATGATTAGCAAAACTAATCATAAAGTAATATATGTCATCAGAGTAAGACCTTCCAGTTTCTTCCTTCCAATATTTGCCTAAATGGATGACCAGGAATCTTTTGCATTTTGAAGAACAGATAATCAACAAAACCATCACTTTGGACGTAGTTCCTTTTATGTTTAATTATGGGGATTGACTAACTTAATTGGCTTGACACGTTGTGCATAATAACTGTGGGGATTGGCTACAGATCTTTGCAGAAGAGGTTCATAAATACTCTTTGTGAAATATTGACCAAAGTTACTTGATTGCAGAGGTTTGACGTGAAAAGATTGCACATTCAGAAGAAACATTTTTCTAATATTCTCTAAGTTCTCAGTTGGTTTTCAATAAATGAAATATCAACAAAAGCTAATAAAATATGTAGATTCCTTCCAATCAAGAATTAGCTTCAAGAATGATTATAAACAGGCTCAAATTTACTAGCCAACAGAAAATATAAACAGGCTCAAATTTACTAGCCAACAGAAAACGACATCTATAACAAGCATGGGCTTGTGCTAGTGTGCTACTAACAGGGGAGGAATATAAATATGAAAATAAAAGATAGATGACATAAGTAACATTGCATTTCAACTTTCATGTCATTTTTAAAATCGCAGGATATATATACCTATGACCAATCCCTGGTACACGAATGCCTTTCTTTTTCATACTTTCAACAAACTCATAAGGCGTGAGACCCTGTGAAGAAATGCATAGCTTTGTCAAACGACCTGGTAATTATAGTACAAAGAGTTTGCAGCATGTAGCAAGTAAACGATCAATTTTATTAAGTCATCTGATAGAAAGCCAACTCACCCTGTCATGAGCATCCTTAAAGTATCGAGCGGCATCATCAATTGCACCACCAAATCGAGGACCAATTGTAAGCAGTCCTGTTTTGAAGATTCATTCACTTTTATGCTTTCTTGTTGCTATTTGCTTTGTTCGTGGGTGTTTTTATGGAGCGAAAAAAAAAACCTGATCATTTGTAGCATTTAGGCTGGAAGTATTACCTGAGACAAGGCTGGAAACTAGATCTTTTCCAGCCCTTGCTGTCACAATAGTGTTATGAGCACCCGAAACGCAAGGCCCATGGTCAGCACACAACATGACACAGATCTGACAACAACGAACTGATAGTGAGCTAAAGGCAAACTATTTTTCCTAAAATTAGCATAATTTAAACAATATCTCAAGATAAAATCAGTCAAACATATCACACCTAAGAGAAAGAAAACTATGTGATATCAAATGGAACATGAGGCTATGTATATCCAAATGGCTTAAGGAATTCAGAAATCAACATATTTCCACCAAACTGAATTTACCCACCTCAATGAATTGTGTACAATAACGGGGAAGACTACGTTTGAACCATAAAAGAGATATCACATCACCAACACCATAACCTCGTTCAATAATGGTTGACATTGGCACACCAGCATAACATGGTTCGTCACCTGAAAGCAAAAACAATAATAGGAGGGAAACCTAAAAAGAAGTGACTACAGGATTAGGAACCTGAAACCTAGAGAAGTTCGAGATAATCAGTAATTAAACCTCTGTCATCAGAGATCGTGGAGATGATATGTGTCGGGGCACGGACTTTTCCACTTTTGATTGCCGTGCTCAGGTCCTCGGGGATTTGAGGAGGTGTAACTTCTGATACAGGGGTTATCTTCCCTTCTTCAACCTAAAATATAAAAACAGAGGATATCAATTACAGAAAGTTTTAACACTTCAGATTTTCCTACACAACTTCTGTAGCATTTATAAACAGATTAAACACATTAGTCAAATTTGAACTTACAAGTTTCTCGAATGTTTCTTTTATTGCACTTTCTAGTGCTTCATATGAAGTTGGAACAACTGCTCCTGCTTGACGTAGAGCCTCATTTTTTGCTTGTGCAGATTCCAATTCGCCACCACTTTTAGCACCCTGGTTTAAATAAAATAGAACATGATCACAATTGTCATGATGATTATTTGAGATTCTTACTAGTGAAGGAGGTAAAGCAACAGGGTGTTTATTAACTCACAGCATGACCAAATTGCACTTCTGACTTGAAGAGGCGAGCACAGGTTCCACTAACCCAAGCAACAACTGGCTTCTGAACCTTTCCTTCTTTCAGGGCCTCTACGAGAGAGTACTCATCACGTCCACCAAGTTCCCCAAGCACAACCATCATTTTGATCTAAGACTCAGATTAAAGAGAAGTTGTCAAGAGGGGGAAATATAAAAAATTTAATGAGTTGCGTGTGACCTAGTTGATGAATATAGATGTATGTTTCTCAGATGATAGGACATAACTTTTGTTCCAAATAAACCTGGAGGTCAAGAATCCTTCAAGAGGGGGAAATATAAAAAATTTAATGAGTTGCGTGTGACCTAGTTGATGAATATAGATGTATGTTTCTCAGATGATAGGACATAACTTTTGTTCCAAATAAACCTGGAGGTCAAGAATCCTT